TTGAAAGAAAACCATGCATTTTTGCAGTTTGTTATTCTATCAACACAAGGCTTTGCAAACCCCACCATCCCTGCATGACAAAAAAGATTTTTCAAACCAGTCGAAACGTCCACCCAGTTATAGTATTTTACCCTATCTAAAGTCATTTTGGGGGCTGTGCCATCTACTCTTAAACCACTGTATATGGACACTTCCCTCCAGCCAATGTCAGTCGGTTGAGTTGCTGAATTGCAGAATTTCAGCGTGAGATATGGCCCAGACACTCCATGCGTATGGCATATGTACCAATATACCTACTGTAGATTGGCAGTTGCATCGAGGTCAATATGATGAACATGTCTATTATATCGTGGGTGAGTTGGTCTTGGCAAGCTTGACCCCGAAACGCCCTTTTCGGTCAACTCATCCAGTTTCCTTCGGGACGACGGACTGTCTGGGCACGAGGTGACGACGAGAGCAGTGGATGACAGGCTGCGGGAGAGCTTGGCTTTGGCCAGTGCCCTCACAGGCCTCCATCGGTGGCTTTGATCGCGCGAACTCGCTCTTGGTGCCCGGAAACCTCAAAATCCCTGCGGAAGCGAATTTCTAACGGCTCAAATGCCGGATGGTTGTCCCCACAACCCTGCTGAGGGCCGAGCTGGACAATGCTTCAGCAGCCGTGTTTTGCAAGGTGTGCGAGCTACTTAAAGGGAGGTTGGTGGCTTGGCGTGGAGTGGAACGGCCATGTGGGCCAACCTCCCACAACAAGAGTTGAGCTTGCGGATTTGGGTTCAACCGGTTCAACCCGCGGATTTTGGGGCTCCTGGCATCGCTACTGGGAGCAAGGACGCTACTACAGGCCGACCCGCAAGATGCTTCCAGACTTCTGGCCGTCCTGATTCGACCTACCTGGCGGCTCCCTAAGTCTGACTCATTGGTCGAAGCCTCACTGTCGCATCTCAGATGGTACCATTGCGATGGTAGGCCAGATACGAGAACCACAGCCATGGCCCATGAAAAACCGAAACTGTTTTTTTGGGGGGGTGATTTAATTTCGATGGATGACCTGTTTGTTTGATCTGCCAAACAGATCCAATGTCACGAAAGTTCCATTCTCCGCCTCACAGTAAACTAGGTCGGAGCGTTGCACAAGTGGAAATCATCCTGAAGCAGAAGAAATGATTATTCTGAAACCAGAACCTTGCGCAAGCCGTTGAAGACTCACCGTCCAGGCAACCCAAAGCCATTGGGCCCGGCATCCAGTCATGGCGCTTGGTTGCCAAACGGCGGTGCCTCAACCGTGAGAATTTGAAGGAAGGGTTCTTGTTCGGATAGGACAAGGAAATACAGAAGTAAGACTCCCTCAGAAGTCGTTTTGACCTTCCAGAACAGGACTGTTGGATGCTCAAGCTTGACCTTTTCAGGTCATAGGTAGGTAGGTCTCTTCGGACTGAGTTCCTTTTCTCCACTTCCCTGTGAGGGTCGTAGGCACCGGCTCCCACCTTCAAGGCTACGCCTTCGCGGTGTCCTGCCCACAGCCTGGTGTCGCAACTCGCTTGCCTCAGCACAGTCGTGTGATGAAAGAGCAGTGTACATTTGGAGGGGTTCAGAGACCTGTGACCAGAGGATGTAGAAGCATATGCGAGTGATGCTCGAAGTGGTAGAGAGGCTCAACATCGATATCATTGACATTCATTGAACCCTTCCTCCAACCAATCCCCATTGGGATACGAGTTCCGTGTAATTAATCCCTTTCCTCTTCAAGCATATCCCCCAAAAGGGAGGAAGCAAGCAATCTCGGGGTGAACTGCAACTGAGGTGATGTCCTTCGTGCCACGACTGAAGTTCATGCCGGCCCTTAAGCCATTGAGAATTCAGGAGAAGAGAAGACAGGTACAAAATCTGCAGAAGGCAAATCCCTGTATATCAAGACTGGATAGCTTCTGTTGGTGTGGGCCCGGGATGGGTGGGCTGGATGCCTTTCCAAATTGAGTGTGCTCCCCAAGTGGCTGGGCACGTTTTTCATTTGCAGGTGAAGATCCACTGGTTGGAAGTACACAAACCCTCCCAGTCTAGTTCATCCAAAGGAAACCTATGGAATTCTACAACACTGCAGTTGCGGAACTGTTGCACCACAAAGCGCAGCACGAAGCATGCGAGACCTTTCGCACCCATCACCCAATGGTGTTAATGATTGACTTCACACCTGATGCCCATTGTTTTTGGATCCGCCAATTGATGCATTCCTCCGAAGATGTGCTGCGCAACACCAACTCACCGGGTCTCCGAAGCTGTAGAATTAGCACCCCAGGACATGTCAACTGCCGTTCTCTCGATGACTAATAATATATGCATTATGTTGAGAACCTGTTCCGCCCCGTGGGTGGAAAGGATGCAACTAAATGCAACTAAGGACTTTGCTCCCTGCAAGGGCCTGGCCTTGCGTGGCAAGGGCTCCAAGGTTGAGATGAGCTTCAAGGGTCAGGACTGCACGAACCACCGCCTTCCCCTCGCTCCAGGCATCGCCCGCCAGCTCCATCGTGCCAATGCCGCCCCCAAGCGGTGTTTTCCTTCATGTTCTCAGTGCCGGGATAGGGGTTTCCTGTAGGGAGACGTATCCCGTTGTTTGGGTAGGCTGTTCATGTTGGTTTCAAGATGCCAAGGGTCACTGTTGCAAACCCCAGGTCGATGTGTCGCATTTTCAAGTGCATCAGCCTGCGCATTCTAGGAGACAAAGCTGGTGGGTCTCTGGGCTGCAGGGGCTACAACTCACAAGTGAAAGACCGTCTCCACGTTTGGACTCAAACTGTTGGTGTTTTGGAAGTACAGCTGGCCAAGGAGCCAAGGATGGGAACGTTAAACATCTTCAACCAAAAGAACCTCATCTCTTTGAACAGTCGCCAAGGTGAACTGCAGCCATTGAGTAACAAGAAGTCCTTCTCGGTCTCGACCTCCTGCAGAATGCCCGTGCTTGGATGCAGTAGACAGTTTGTCCTTCAAACTCTGTGGCATGCCATCCCAACACCAAGGATACGGTCTGACATGGTCTGACAAAGTTAGTACACTCTTTCGTGTGCCTGTGTGAAGCTGCCATGCCTTGTACTTCTCCAGCCTATGGATACTACTTTTTGGGGAACTGCCCATGCAGAGGCGCCAATTGGGGCAGTGGAGCCCACCATGGCAGATTCCCACAACTCAGGTTGGTTAGACATTCGTCGGACACAACCAGGTGGGGCCAGGCAGCTTCGTGGCTGATGAAACTTTACTTATATAACTATACTTGTACCATAACCATAACTATACTACTTATTTAGCCTATTTCCTTCCTATTGTGTTCCTTTTCACTGTTTGGGGTCTCTTGCCGGATAATTTGTTTGAAGCAAATTCTTTATTTGGACGTGGGCATCTCAAAGTGTGGTTTCTCTAATGCGTTCGCATCGCAAAGATGTCCAGGGGTCAAGGTGAGTCCTGATTCAGCTATAGATAAGATAGATGATGCCCCTTGTGCATCGCAGTACCTCAACAACAATGCTTTTGTGTGATCTCCGGGCAGGCTTTAGCAATCTTCAATCGACACTGGGGACGTTCTAACAATACTGGTATTCTTGCAAAGACGTCCGCGAGACTGGCTACCGGGTAGCAACAGGATTTGCTGGCTCTCTTTATTCTTTACGTCGCTATGCTAGACTAGACCGGTGCTGATTTACCACTGATATTTGGCGTTCTGCTCAGAGGTGTGGTCATTTGCCATTGGATGGGCATGGTTCCTTTTGCTTTGGACCACGAAATGGCTCGTCAGCTCCGTCAGGCGACGTACGCACTTGCTGGCCTGACTTGCTAAAGTGCAACGCACCAAATGGCAATGTGAAGAATCCAAGACAATCACTGTCCAAAGATCTTATCAGTCCCTTTGAAAACTTTGTCCACAAGTTTGATCATTGGAATCATTGGCTCGATGAAGCGAATACTGGATTTGGGGGAGTGAAGCTGGGGCCCATACATGTCGGCAAAGAAGCCGGTGGGCCAAGTGAGCTCCAGCTCCCGAATGAACGATGCAGACGGTGGATGCGCAGCCTTGGACATCCGCTGGACCAATCCATCCAGCGAATGGACAACCAGGTAAGCGTGATGTGCTGATTATATATTATATGTTGGACTATCGGATGTTGTTGGCTACTTGGGTTTGAAAACGTGAGCTGACAACTTCTCAGTGTGGCACAATCCCAGAATGTATGTGTCAGATCTTGGGCCACCCTTGACACCAAATGCCAGAAGAAAGGTCGGCAAAAAAACGCAAGGCATCGTCAGCTGACCTGCCGGATTTGCTGCATCGCCGAGCATGACTTTGGCATACCTCGGCTGGAACATGGTGACAAGACCTCTTTGGCGCCTTCTGGTTGTCAGAGTCTGTTGGGACATTTCCTGTTGTGAAAACGTTGAAAGAAGTACATACCTTATCAATTTTATCGCGTCACCTCGCCAGTAAAATGTCTAAAAAAGACAGTACTGTTCTAGTGACTTTTAGTTTTCGTAAGTGCCACCTTATTAATATGTCCATACTCACCTTATTAATATTAGTGACAGTTATGTTTAGTTTTAGTACCTTATCAACCTTCACGGTTGAACCGTTTACAGTATATTCCTTGAAGGGTCTGCAGGATGGCACAAGTCCCAAGAGGTGGAAACAATGCGACCGAGTCACAAGAGGTGAAAGCACCAGGGTGAAAGATGGTGTAGGAGGCAAGCTACTAATAGCTTCTTGTTACTAATCAAAGGAAGTTTAGTGTACGAAACTTCCGTGTTACGGACATTCAAGAACTGTTCATACAGTTCATACACCACTCATCAATACACCACTCATCATACACCACTCATCATACACCACTCATCATACA